GATCTTCACGATGGCATCCGTTGCCAATCGTACTTCCAACTGACTTCGAGATACATGCCTCTCCTCGAAGTCCAACAACGGTAGACTTTGCTGTCGAACAAAGTTGCTCGACACGCCCGAGTCCACCAACACCCGAAGAGAGTCCACTCTCTTCGTCATCGACTTCACCTTTAAGATGACAAAGTTTGGCATGTCATCTTGCACTTCGCAGTGAGATTCTCTCTCACTGGGGGCTGCAGTCCTCAATACCGCGTGTCCGTTGTAGACACGCGTGAGTAGGGCGCCCCGCGCCGACTGGTACTTGCGTTTTTTGTTCGACCGCGACGATACCCAGTATCGCCACGTCGACCTTGGCTTGAGTGTACTGGTGCCGTACACTCACGTGCGTAGTGACCCATGTTTTCGCACCGGAAGCATCGCACGTAGCTTCCCTTGTTCTTCTGCTGTCCGACAGCAGATGCATACGAAAGATCCATTGGTTTCCGTCTTAGCAGCCGGCCGAGGCGGGCGTGGCACGTTCGTGTGCACTTTAGCCTGTCTCAGGCTTAACTCCTCTTGCGTGGTGAGGGTAATCGCAGCTTCGAGAGTACTCGGGTACTCTCGGAAGAGATAGGTCGTCACAGGCCCATCCCTCAACCACTTCATGAACGTGACGACCTTGGTCGCCTCGTCCATCGGGTCGGTCACGACATTTGAGACCAAATACCGAGCCCGTTGGGCGTAAGTATGCACGTCATGCTTGCTGCAACTCCGCTCTCGACCGGAACTCGTTCTGTAGGGGCTCAAACGCGAGTTTGAGCTCCTCCTAAAAGGATTCCTACGTGCTTCAGCACGTAGGATCAGTGAGTCGGCGCCCGTAGACCCAACTCCTCGCGCGTCCGCCAAGACAAGACATGGTGAAGGCGACTTTGGCCAATGGGTCGACGAGACGTCGAGCCATTACGGCAGTGTCAAGTTAGACAAGCCAGTGGAGAAGGGTCTCGCCTTCTCTACCCATGTAGTTACTGACACGTAGCTTGAGGTATTCCTTCCGCGGTGTCTCCCCCGGAGACACTGGCTTCGCGGCAGCAACCTCGTGTTGCTCTCTCATGATGAACCCCAGAGCAACACCATGTTGCTCTGTCGGCGATAGCGTGCGCAGCATTGTCGCTACGGCCGCCTCTCCAATGACTGTTGACAGTCGTTGGAGCGCCTCCCACTCTGGGTAGATCTGGTCGTTTACTAACCTGATCTATCGCTGTCTTGCTCACAAATGCATTGATGCAGTATCGAGAACACTCGGCTCGTATCGGATTCCACCCCGACGAGCGTCCTAGTTTAACATCTTCTCCGCAGCTTCGGGTAACATACCCATGTGCTACGTGGGGTTAAACCACTGACGGATCTGGTTATAGAACTCTTCCATCGGACATTTTTTCATGCCATGCAGTTCTCCACATCCACGTCACACGAAGAGGCAGTGATACGAGGTTGTCACACTTCGTGCATGTAACACGCCTCCAGCAACCAAGATCCGAGTGCTATCTGGATCCACAGTGCGAGCACCGATCACGGTTAAACGATTACAGTGGATCTTCGAGTTGTGATCTTGATGGCCATGATCACGGTCTGGAAGTCGTGGATCTAGGTTCGCCGACTCTTTCTCCACCTTCGGGGTGACATCTTCATTCGCGGGAAGGAAGCTCCTGCGATGGTTCTCGACGTCAGAGTCAGATCCTCCCGATCTGTCCGACTCGCTGTCGGATCCAGAGTCGTTAGCTTGGATCTGGATCGCGCGTACTTGTTTCGCTGGCGCGGAAGGGGTAGTGTTAGTTTGCTTCTGACGGTACTTGCTGGATCCGAACGCGGCCTTCTTTTGACGATTCTTAGCGCGATTCCGACCGCGAAGGACACCTTCAAGATCATCAGCGTCAGTCAACCGTAGTATGGTTAACCTTTCCGCTAGATCGTGATCCTCAAGCGTCTCGACGTAATGATCCACATGTTCACGTAGTTCCTTCGCGCTGCCATCCTTGATCTTCAGTCTCGCGCGGAGTCCCGCCACCTTGAGTCGATAAAAGTAGCCCAGTGTCCGTATGGTAGTATTGTCTTGCTACCGATACTCCAAGTCCGCAGTACTGGATCTAGAAGCTTCGTACTAGATGTGGTGTCGGGTTTCTTGCAAAGGCGACTTGCCGGTGCGAGTGCTGAGTTGGCGACTGGGACGGACCTATGGGAGCCGCCGTTG